GTTGACTTCTTTCTGTATTGAAGGGTATTGCAAAATTGCCTTTCATTGAAGAAGCGCGGCTCCTAGCAGAGGTTGCAAAAATTGAACATTCTTTGACGGTATGATAGTTTTTGTTTCTGAATCAGTAAGTTGACTCTCTTCGCAGGATTTTTATTTGCTAATTTAGTTATTTTCATACAGGAAGAAGAAACACGAAGAAACAGTGTGATGTGTGATATGCTTTTTGTGTCATTATCTCATCCTTTGTCTCCATGCATTTTCTCTCTTGATGATCGCTGTAAGAAGCTTACAGACAACGAACGTTTCAAAGTCAAGGAGCAGTTGGACCCAATAGCTAGGTTTGTTTGCAACTATAGCTATCTGTGCTAATGAATAGCTTATTAATTTGGACTTTCATTTTGTTTGTGTATTTGTTTGTTTTCGATTGGTTCTTGTTTATTTGGACGTTGAAGGACTTTTAGCCAAAATGAGAAAATTGATCAAGTCAGGGAGCATTTCTCATGACTAGCTGTTAATTGGTGCTATTGGTTGTGTTGGGTGGATGAAATTGTCTTTCAGTTTTCTGGTCAGCTCCAATGACACTTGTCTCAGTTCATCTTCTAACCTGGTTGAGTTCTGTACTGCAAAACTTGTGCTGTTGAGTACCTTTTTAAAGTTATTTCTGTGTTTGTCTTTGTGATCCGAGTCTCCACTCGTGACTCAGCCTAGAGCCTCTTGCTAATTTCTTTTTATTCGTTATCTGCTCTTTCTCTGAGTTGGATCATGTTTCTTCATCATGTGTGAAATTAGTATGTTTAAATCTTCTTCTCCATCACTTTGTTCTGTATCTTCAATATTGTCTATTGTGAGTAAATCATTGCTCCAACCGCAATATTTGAAGTCCTATCTGGACTCTTCTCATTCTCTCTAGGTCTTCTTGCAGCGGTGGTATGAACGGATACCTATCCCTTTGCATGGGAGATCCTTGTCCTCCAATTTTTAGATCACCTATTGAAGGGATGGAGGATATTAAGCAAAATCAAGTCATGTAAGAACCCAGCTTTTGGCAGCAGCATCTGTATCAACTGACATTGCTGACCAACGTAGAACTTTTATGTTTTGCTCATCAGCTTTTCCTGTTCTTGCATTTCAGATGTGCAATATACAGACTTCCCGATACTCGTAAACATATCGCTCGGCCAATGGAAGGGGTTATTTTCCCAAAGAAGGTACATAATGCTGAACAACTTACTCCAACCGATCTTTTACCATGAATCTATTTGTTTCTGATGTCTTAGGTTTTGGTGAAAACAACAGATTCACCTTTCCTTCTTCCAGGGGTGTTGGGTGGGGGTGGGGGTGGGGGGTGGATGCCT